GTAGGGAAAAGGTAATTAATTGTGCCGTTGTAGCTGAGAATTCAGTTGAATTTGGAAGTGAAAAATTTTGATAACTGAAAAATGATCACTGGGTTTACTTATGGTATTTTCAGCAATAATTTTAGTACAGTTTGAATGGGCCTACTAATGGATAAATATGGAGTGCAGAGGAGGAAAAAAGGAAAGGGAGCTGAGGAAATGGGGGATACTTATAGTCAAGAAAGAAATAGGGTGCCTATTGGCAGATTTAGTCAGAAGCGTTACAAGTGCCAAAGGAGAAAGAGACTAGGGAGAAGACCTGGGAACAAGTGGATCCAAGTATGAGCTTGGAGGAATTGACAAAGACTTAAATGAGGGAAGAAGAGGTACCTTTGAAAGAGGCTCACTGGGAGGGTTATTTTCCGATCTTTATCATGGTATAAAGTGAGACACTGTTAAATTCTAAACCAGAATAAATTATGGTTGGACTGGGGAGTGAGAAGGTGGTGTTCAAGTTGAGTTGGAGCAGGAACTAAAAGAAGAAAGTGACATTTTCTGGTCAGGGTTGTAGTTGGGGAGTATGGGCATGTGGAATAGGACCTTATCTTACTTAGGCAGTCTTTTCAACATTTAAAGTTTGTAACTGTTGTCAAAGTTGCATACCTTTATCCAGGTTTAGGATATCTTGAAGCTTTGTCGTTTATTCTTTAATTCAACACATATTTATTGTGTCAAGTTTGTCCTCCGTGTTGGGGCTATGACAGTGAACAAATCTGACAAAAACCATTGCGTTAGATTGGATCCTAATTGGGACGATGATCATAAAGTCAACACAGTAAACAAAGTAAAATACAGTACATCAGATGGTAAAATAGTTTCCACCACCAGATCCCTTTATGGAGGGACAGTGTGGGTCATAGTGAGCTATACCAATTTGCTTCTGCCCAGGTAATTGTCTTCAAGTTTTGTTGGTGGTCACAATGTGCCATTTACATAGTGGTCCTCATCTCCAGGTATCATGCTTGACAAGCATGTTAAAAAGCTAAAAGTGACCTTCAAGTTATTTTCGCTTCTAAAATTAGCTTTCTTAATTCCTTCCTGAGTTAATGTTCCATTGATGATTTAGAGAGTATTCATTTTAGGTTTTTAGGACATGAAGAAATATTAAGTTTAGATCCTTTTGGTTTTTTATTGCAGGTGAAATACATGGAGGAAGAGCGAAATTTTACCACGGAGCAAGTGACTGCCATGCTTTTGTCCAAACTGAAGGAGACAGCAGAAAGTGTTCTTAAGAAGCCTGTTGTGGACTGTGTTGTTTCGGTGAGTTTGATCCCTACACATTATTGGGGTCTTGCATGAAGAAGCAGAAAGAAGAAAGCTGTTAATTGAAAATAAAATTGCTTTTTGTCTTAGGTGGTAATGGTTATTTTAAGAATTTATCAAACTAGTTCTCATATTCTTGAATATTTTTTTTTGCCCCCTAGTTTTTGCTCATGATTCTGTTATTCTGTCTGTTTAAAGGCTTATCTCAGCCCACTTCCTGGATTCCTTCTAGCACCTAGCATAGTGCCTGGCACATGGTAGCCACTTGTTTGTTGAATTAGTTGAATACTCTCAATTAGAAATGCTGTTTTATTCTTCATTTCTATCTCTATCTTTGCTGTTTTTGTATCCAGCGCTAAACGCAAGGCAGCAGTAGAATTCATCTTGTCTTTTCCATTTCCCTATTTAGATGGAAGCCTGGCTGTTCGTAGCTTTGTGCTTGTAGTATGGTGAAGTCCATAGGGACTGTTGAAATTTGGGTGGTTGTATTGGCCTTTCCAATGAATCTCCTCATTCTGCCGTTGTTATCTGATATTTTAGCTCTTTGGCCTCCTTTGCCTTTTAAAATTTTTATTTATTTTTAAAAAATTTTATTGAAGTATAGTTGATTTACAGTGTTGTGTTAATTTCTTCTCTACAGCAAAATGATTCAGTTACACATATGTATGTTCTTTGCCATTATGGTTTGTCACAGGATATTGGATATAGTTCCCTGTGCTGTACAGTAGGACCTTGTTGTTTACTGGCATCTTTTGTCTTAATTTTGGTGCATTGGTTGTCAAAGCAAGGACTGTTAGGTGGCTTATTTCACCTCAGTTTTTTGACTGATGGATTCCTTGGTTCTTGGCTATCTAGTAAAGTAGTACTGACATCTGTCAGGAAGAATTGGCTTATGGCTCATAACCCACATTTTGGGGATGCAAAGAATAAGAATGCTACTTCCCTTCAAGAGCTCAGATTCAATACAGGCACAGCATTTCTTAGATGGTTTCTGCCTTCCCACAAATCTCTGTTGGACTTTGAGATTTGTCCCCATTTCCCCCCATCTACCGCCCTAACTTTGATTCTGAATTTTGCTCCATGTTGTAGAAGTAAAATTTTTTTTTTTTCCTCTCCCGGTACGCGGGCCTCCCACTGCTGTGGCCTCTCCCGTTGCGGAGCACAGGCTCTGGACGCGCAGGTTCAGCGGCCATGGCTCACGGGCCCAGCTGCTCTGCGGCATGTGGGATCTTCCCAGACCGGGGCACGAACCCGTGTCCCCTGCATCAGCAGGCGGACTCTCAACCACTGCGCCACCAGGGAAGCCCTAGAAGTAAAATTTATGTAAAATGGCAAGACTGCCTGAGTGGCTTTTCCAGCTTTTGGGATCAAGTTAAAAGGTGATGAATTTAATTATGTGTTGGGGGTCCTCAAGAGTTTTGGTGATTTGATAGGAGAATTTACAGGACTCAGAATAAAGCCATATTCATGGCTAAGATTTATTATAGTGAAAGGATGCAAAGCAAAATCAGTAAAGGTGAAAAGTACATGGACAATGTCTGGAGAAAACCAGATACAAGCTTCCAAGAGTCACTTTCCATTGGAGTAAGACCAGAAGTGCTTAATTCCTCCAGCAGCAAGTTGTGACAGCACGTATGAAATGTCATACACCAGCGAAGTTCTCCAGAGCCTTGAAGTCCAGGATTTCTATTGGAGGTCATTTGCATAGGCATGTTATGCCTTGCGTGTACCGAAATTCCAGACTTCCAGAAGCAAATTAAGTGTAAAGCATAAACTACATTGTACAGTTTAGGCACAGTGGACCACTCTTACAATTTAGGGAAATTTTTCTGTTGATTTAGGGAACTATTTATCATTCAAATTCCTAGATGCAGAAAAGGGCCATCCTTGCCATCGGGCCTAAGGATAGTGGTCTCTGGCCTCTGTGTGAACTCTTTTCTGCACAGTCTTCTCTGCACAGTCACTGCTCTAGATTTTGGTACTATGGTATATGTGATTGCTATATAAATAAGGCCTGGGTGGATTTTGCTTTATTTATAAATTGATTATTGTTAAAATATAAGCTTTATTTTGGGGGGAAGGTAATAGTAGCCCTCGTAATCAAATCAAATGTGTAAAAGGGTATATGGGAAGCTTTAGCACATCTGTTACCTAGTAGGTAGATTTTCCTTACTAGAGGTTACCAGTTTTACCACCCTGTTACAGATCTTTCCAGAGGTTTTTATGTACCCAGGCAAATATGTATAGGTCCTTTTTTACTTTCATTTTTCTTTTAGTATATTTTGGACAATTTACCTTATATATGTTCCATAGCAGTAAAGAGGTGCTTCGTTTCTTTTAGTGGAGCAGAGTGTCGCAGTTTATGTGTACCATAATCTGTTTAACTAGTCTCTTTTTGTTGGACATCCAGGTTGCTTCCAGATTTTTTTTTTTTAATTGCAAAGAATACTACAATGAGTAAACTTGAACAAGTATCATTTTGCTCTTATGTGATAAGTTTGTAGGTTATAGGCTAAATTCCTAGAAGTGCAATTGCCGGGACAAAGGATATGTGTATTTTAAACTTTAACAGCTGTTGTTTAATTGCCCTTTAGAGAATTTGTGCTGATTTACACTTATATCAGCAATGCATGAGAGGGCTTGTTTGACCACAGCCTCACCAGCACAGCTTATTGGTGTATTAAATAATTCTGATAGATAAATAATCGTAGCAAAGTGTGTGTGATTTTAATGCTGATATTTTACTCTTTAGGTAAACTAGAACATTTTAAAATATGAACCATTTTGTATTTTGCTTATTTTTTCCTATCCTTTCCTCATTTTATTTTGAGTGTATGGTCTTTATTTTGATTTGTAGTTCTTCGAATATTAGAGAGATTAACTCTTTGCTGTTTTATGATGTGAGTTGCAAATATTTTTCCCCATTTGGTCATTAGAATTTTTTAATGAGTCAAATGTATCAACCCCCCTCCCTGCCTTTTTCTTTTCTTTTCTTCCCCAGCAAAACATTCTCTTATTTTTATCTCAGCAGATGTCCTCATTTGGCACCTGACATCAAACCAAAGACCTTAGTTCAGTGGGCTGAGACCATTTGTAAACTTAGTATTTGTAGGTCTCAGTGCCTATGAGCATCAGAGCACCTGCCCTCCCTCTGATCCCTTAGGGATGCCTAAATCTGTCTCAGGTGTGCTAACAGTGCTGGCCACAGGGTGGTGGAAAAGTTGTGGCACTGCCATCTGCTGGGATAGGAACCCAAGCTGCGCCTTGAAAGCAAGTTCTTTTCAGGTCTCCAGATAGAGTCCCAATTATGCTTATTCAACATACTCTTGTCTGCCTGGGCTGGAATGAAGAAAGGACCATTTTCCCCAGTGGCACAGGGGAGGATTCACAGCTGGTTTACACTTTTTAGAGCTCAAGCATCTAAGGGAGTCTTGTCTTGGGGGCTGGAGCAGTGTGCTCCCAGGTCAGTGCTGCTACCCAGGGGAAACCCCAAGTCCAGCTTGGCAGCCTTTGCACAATGGGTACTTTCCCAGGATCCATGAAAATATTCAGAGCTCATCAGAACGTTTTACTTATATGCAGTTTGCGACTGTCAGAGGAGTTCAGGACTGTCTGGCTGGGACTCTTATCAGGATCTCATTTTAGGATTAGTTATTCAAAGCATGAAATAAAGGGGAATACTTTTTTTTTTTTTGCCATACCATGTGGCATGTGGAACTTCCCCGACCAGGGATCGAACCTGTGCCCCCTGCAATGGAAGTGTGGAGTCTTAACCACTGGACCACCAGGGAAGTCCAAGAGGGAATACATTTTAAGGATCAAGGCTGCTCTTTGTAGCCCTGCTGAGGCAACTATTTCAGACATGATCAGTACAGAGAAAAGTGGGTACTCAACAGGGAACAGCTGGCTTTCAGACCCAGACTTCTTCAGTGGTGTGGTTGAAGAGGGACTTCAGCTTGGGCATTCTATCAATAGCTTATCCTCTGCAAGGCTGGTTGACCCAGCAGGTGCAGATCAAGGGCAGCTTCAGGAGAATGAAGACCAGAGACTTGATCAGGTCAAAGGAGAGCTTCTGAGTCTGCTCCACCAGCTTCTGGCATAACAACATCTTGAAAATGAACTTGAGGCTAAGAACTCTAAGGACCCAGAAAAGGTTGAGCATGGCCAGCTGCTTCTCTCCGTCCTGGAAGAGATGCACGGAGATGATAGTGGGGAAGTAGGTGCTGAGCCTGTTAGCGGCGAAGAAGGGCACAGACACGTTTCACCAGGAGAGGCTTGGAGCCAGGCAGTCCACACGCAGGGTCAGTAGCACAGAGAACACCAACAGGACCAGCCAGGTGCACGAAGATCTTGAAGGTAGTGAAACCCAGCCACTGTTGGTGAGAAAAGCATCACGCAGGTTGAGCGAGCCAGGGACAGCCATACGTCCCACTCACCGGGCTGCGCCTCCAGTCCCCATGGGCCTCACTGATGTCTGCCGTTGTTGCTGCCAGGCGAGCGAGAGGCAGCGAGCAGCCCTGCCCGCTGCAGCCCTTGGCCCAGGTGTGCTACTGATCACCCGGCCCCGGCTTGGGATCCAGCACTGGCCACCAGCGGACTCCCACCTTGACCTGCCGATTCTTTTGGGTTTTGTGTTATATTGAGAAAATTCCATCTTTTCTTTGACGGTAAAGATTCCCTTTTATTATGGTACTCATGATTTTTAAAAAACATTTAAATTTTTGATTTGAAATATTTTGGTATTAGGTGTATAGTAAGGATACAACTTTATTATTTTTTCTGTATGGCTGTCCATTTGTCCCAAGACTACTGATTAGTCCAACTTTCTCCTACTGGTTTGAAATACTTCCTTGGTCATATACAGAATAAATTGCTGTAAGTATTTGAGGGTGTTTCTGGATTTTACTGTTGTTTGACAGGTATATTTTAAATGAGGGATCTCCATAATACAGTAAACTTTCAAATTTTTTTATAGGTTCCTTGTTTCTATACTGATGCAGAAAGACGGTCAGTGATAGATGCAACACAGATTGCTGGTCTCAATTGCCTTCGATTAATGAATGAAACTACTGCAGGTAAGAGATTATTAACTGAAATTTTTGACTTGCTCCATCTTGAAGGTTGTGAAATCTTAAAACCCTAGGGTTTCTTGTTCCCTGTTTTGCTTGGAGCACTTACCACCTGTGTGTCATAGTATTTTTGGATACTCTGTCACATTCTGTGAAGAGTTCACCTGAGAAGAGCTTTTTCTGTATCCTCATCGCACTTACTTTGGTATTTAATTACATGCTTGTTTGGAAAGGAACGCATTTATTGTGTGTTTGGAGCATTGCTTTGGTATAAATATTGGGTTTTTCTCCAACTTGTGGATTGGTGGAGTTACAGGGGTGGGGTATAAAGCAACATCTCAGGGGGTAGAATATATGGGAATGTTGAGATGGCACAAGGATAGTAGAAACATGGGAAGAAATGTTTGGAGAAGTGGAGGAAGTGGTTTGCGGAAAAATTGTCAAAGTTGTTGAAATTGGAAATTGGAAACGTAAGGAAGCCTAAGTGAATGTTGGCATTTAACTTTTTGAAGTTAGTGTTCTTCATGAATAAATCATGCAGAGCTTATAAAGATTTTGAGTCTTTCATGGATCTGTATACAGAGTCTGTTTTTTCCTACTTAAATGAATTTTAAGTTTAGTACTTAAATGGTAACATGTTGACTTTTTTTCTTATTGTGTAGTTGCTCTTGCATATGGAATCTATAAACAAGATCTTCCTGCCTTAGAAGAGAAACCAAGAAATGTAGTTTTTGTAGACATGGGGCATTCTTCTTATCAAGTTTCTGTATGTGCGTTTAATAGAGGAAAACTTAAAGTAAGTATATTTTTTCCAGAAGACTGTATTACAAGTGTATGGTAATTAGGAATTTATGAGGGACAACTTAAAATAATTGGTTAAAGAATTTTGTTTCACTAGTGGAAACTTGGTATGAGCCATCTGAACTAGAAATTAGGTAGGTAGGGGTTGGGTGGAAGTTGTAAGCCCAAAATAATTTATCAAGAGTTGACATGGTATGAAGCAAAGAGCATAGACCTTGAGGAAGAAACTCTTAGAGTCCTGAGCCTATTTTTCTTATCTGTAATGTGGGGAAAATAATGCTTGCCTTGCAAGCTTACTAGGAGGAATCTTTAACATGTAGTCCCTTCATATATCTTACACTGAGGATTGAGGAGATGATAAACGTATTCTCTTAAGGTTTTGAGTGGTCTGGGAACAGGATGGAGTGACTAGAACTTGGGTGGCCGAAAGAAACCAGACTAGGAGTGATATTCTAGATGTCTGGAGACGTTAGAGCTCTGGAGAAAGCAGTTTTGTACACAGAAGTCTAGCAGTGTTAATGGCAGAGAGGGACCAGAGGGTGATCATGGTCACAGTTGAAAAAAATTTTTTTAAATATGTATACACATTTCCTGTATTAATCTCTTTATTAAGGTCAAATTTATATAGAGTAAAAGGTATAGATTTTAGGTGTTCAGTGAGGGTTTTTTTTTTTTTAATTTATGTTTTTAAATTGAAGTATAGTTGATTTACAGTGTGTTAGTTTCAGGTATGTAGCACAGTGATTCAGTTATACATATATATTCTTTTTCAGATTCTTTTTCCCTTATAGGTTTTTACAAAATATTGAGTATAGTTCCCTGTGCTATGCAGTAGGTCCTTGTTGGTTATCTATTTTATTTATAGTAGTGTTAATCCCATCCTCCTAATTTATCCCCCCTGCTTCCCCTTTGGTAACCATAAGTTTGTTTTCTATGTCTGTGAGTCACAGTCGAATTTGATGGTATAGGCTAGTTCCTCAGTGGGATATAAAATCAGTTCTCTAGCTTGGTGATTTTATCTAGAATTTGCTTAAGAACCAAGGATATTTTGAGTATTTAATTATTTGGGTTCTGTATCAATGTTCTTAGTGCCAGGTCTAAACTGGTTTTCTGCTTCCAATTTAGGAGTTGGTCGAGTGGACTACCTATCCCAAAATAAGTACTTGTTAGGTTTGGAGGGCATTTTGAGTTTCTCTTTGTTACAATCCTGCTTCTTTGAAAACTGGACTTGCCTCTGCTTTATATTCTGATTTGTTTCTATGGTTTATGTTTTTTTTTTTTAATACCAACAAATCTTTGGGATGGTTGGGAAATAAGAGGTTCACGATTTTTACAGATATGAATGATGGACCAAGTGTTATTCTCACTGTTTAAGCTTTACTTTTATCCATAATAGGATTATTTCTAAATTCCATTTTGTACTCTCACTTTTTAATTAAATTATTTAATTATTTATTTTAAATTTTATTTATTTATCTTTGGCTGCATTGGGTCTTCGTTGGGGCTTTTTTCTGGTTGCGGTGAGCAGGGGCTACTGTTCGTTGCAGTGCACGGGCTTCTCATTGTGGTGGCTTCTTTTGTTATGGAGCCAGGGCTCTAGGTGCGCGGGCTTCAGTAGTTGCACGGCATGTGGGTTTAGTTGCTCCAGGGCGTGTGGGAGCAACATTGGCATTGTTGCTCCCCTGCATTGGCAGGTGGATTCTTAACCACTGCGCCACCAGGGAAACCCTCTCACTTTTTTCGACAGAAGATACTGGCCATAATTAAGCCTTGTCTTTGAGTCAAAGTGATGTGTATTAGTTTCTGCTTTATTATCAGCTGTTACTTGTCAGTTTTCCAATTATAATTAAAACTTAATTATCAAAATACTTACTATAAAATCAAATTTTGGAACACTTATGTATAAAGAAAAGACATTCATGATCTTACTACAGTTTGGTGTATTTCATTCTAGTCTTTTATGAAAACAAAATTGGAATTACACAGAACTGTGTCTTGTCTTTTTTTTTTTTTTTTTTTTCCTCTCCTGTGAGTTCACTTATTAAGAAAAACTTCCTGAGGACATTTAACATTCTTTGAAGAGATTGTTTTAAGGGTGTGGGTCATCACTTACTTAGCCAGTCTTCTATTATTGGATCTGATTAGATCTAGTTTGCTTCTAATCTGCCAGAGATTTGGAAAAGGATAAACTAACCTAATCAGTCTTCTATGTTGAATAGAAACAGATGGCTGTGACTTCGGGCTTTACCATATTTTCTGGTAGTAAATTGCATAGAACTAAATAAGCCTTTGGTATTATTCACAGTTTTGTGGTAGCAATAAGATTAGAACTGTACATGACATGTTAGTGTATTGGGCCTTGAATTATAATTGTTGCTTGGAGTCAGATTGGTGTAGTGGAGAAGACATAGGTTTTGAAATTGAGGTTGGGTTTTGAATTCTACTTCTACCACTTAATAACTTAGTGACCTGCATATTATCTGATCTATCTAGGTCTTTGTATCATCTGTAAATTGGGGATTACAATGTCTCTTTCCATAGTGGTTGTAACCATGATTAAATGACACATGCGCATTGCCTTGTTTCAACCTTAATGTCCCTTCTTGCCTTTTTATTACAGTTTAACAGTTAAATATATATCGTGATAAAATTTTAAATTGGTTAGTTTTTTGAATTAATTATCATCTTTTTTCAAAGGTTCTGGCCACTGCATTTGACACAACACTGGGAGGCAGAAAATTTGATGAGGTGCTAGTAAATCACTTCTGTGAGGAATTTGGGAAGAAATACAAGCTAGACATAAAGTCCAAAATCCGTGCATTATTACGACTGTCTCAGGAGTGTGAGAAACTCAAGAAATTGATGAGTGCAAATGCTTCAGACCTTCCTTTGAGCATTGAATGTTTTATGAATGATGTTGATGTATCTGGAACTATGAATAGGTAATCATATTAATATTTTGATGGTAAACTGAACTGATGTTTCTCTCCTTATATTAGCCTTAATTAGCTAATTGTTGAAATTATATGGATGTTATATAACTTCAGTTCTATAAGTAAAAATTAGAGGCCATTCAGGACCTTGCCTTTATTTTATTTTTTAAAAAATTTATTTATTTTTATGTTTGGCTGTGCCGCATGGCACATTGGATCTTAGTTCCCTGACTTGGGTTCGAAGCCGCACCCCCTGCATTGGAAGCGCAGAGTCTTAACCACTGGACCGCCAGGGAAGTCCAGATATTGCCTTTGATGTGAAGGCTGGGTTTGGTTAGTCTAATAATGTAGACTATTTCCAGGAAATTGGCAGTTCCTTTACACGTGCATGTATTACACGTGCATGTATTACACGTGCGTTACCAGTTTTCATAAATTCAGGGCAAAGTGCTTTAATGCAGGATTAAACTGAATTTGCTTTAGTCATTGATTCAGAAATTGGTGTTTTTGAGTAGTTCAGTATCACTTGAGGACAACGGGTCTTTTTGTATAATACTACAAGAATTCTGGGTAACTGACATTTCAGGGCTATCCTCAGAAATACCCAGAATGCTTCTGTTATCTGGTTAGGTTGCTTGAATGGTCTTTAGTATGTGAACTCTACTGGTAGAATTCAGGCAAGACTGATGGCTTGTTTGGAGAAGGGTGGCCTGAGCCATCTTCAGAAAATTGAGATGGAGTCAGAATTACTTTTAATCTGCCACAATTAGATTACTGTGCCTAGTAACCAGATTTGTAGTCACCTTTCTCTTCTACTTGAAAGTGATGGTTTTCATTTTTATTAAACAGCAACTTTTTGTGTGTCTATGATGTGTTAGGGGGAATCATACAGTATGTGTTTGGCTTCTTTTGTGTCTGGCTTCTTTAACTTAATGTTTCCTAGGTTCATGTATTAGTACCTCATTGCTTTTTACGGCAAATAATACTACATTTGTGTGGGTATATCCCATTTTATTTTTCCATTCATCAGTTGATGGGACATTTGGTTTTCCACCTTTTAGCTATTGTGATGACGAGTGTTTCTATGAACATTCATGAACAAGTTGTTTGAGTATCTTGTTTTCAGTTCTTTTGGGTATATAGCTAGGAGGGGAACTGCTGGGTCATGTGGTAATCATATGTTTAGCTTTTTGAGGAATGACCAAGCTATTTTCAACGTGTCCAGTGCATCTCTAGTGGCAGTGCACACTTCTCTTCTAAAAGCTTAGAAGGGACTTCCCTGGTGAGGCAGTGGTTAAGAATCTGCCTGCCAATGCAGGGGACAAGGGTTCAAGCCCTGGTTCGGGAAAATCTCACATGCCGCGGAGCAACTAAGCCCATGTACCACAACTGCTGAGCCTGTGCCCTACAGCCTGTGAGCCACAACTGAGCCCTCATGCCACAGTTACTGAAGGCTGTGTGCCTAGAGCCCTTGCTCCGCAACAAGAGAAGCCACTGCAATGAGAAGCCCACGCACCGCAAAGAAAGGGTAGCCCCCGCTCCCTGCAACTAGAGAAAGCCTGTGTGCAACAACGAAGACCCAGTGCAGCCAAAAATAATAAATAAATAATAAATAAATAAATTCATTAAAAAAATAAAAGCTCAAATACTTATTTCACATAAAAATGAGTAAAATATAGTTACCATGTGATTCAGCACTTCCACTCCATACCCAAGAAAAATGAAAGCACATTTACACAAAAATTTATATATAAATGTTCATAGCAGCACTACTTATAATACCCCCAAATTGGAAACAACCCAAATGCCCATCAACTGATAAAATAAACAAAATGTGATATGTCCATACAATGGAATATTATTTGGCAATTAAAAAAAATGTACAGATGCATACTGTAGCATGGATGAGCCTTGAAAAGTTTATGCTAGATGAAAGAAATAAGTTAAAATGGACTACATTTTGTCTAATTCTATTTATATGAAATGTCCAGAATGAGTGGTTGCCTAGGGCTGGAGGGTTGGTGGGGGAGTTGGGAGAATAATATTAATGGTGATGAAAATACTCTTTTTTAGGGTGATGAAGAGGTTTTAAAATTGATAGTGGTGATGTTTGCACAATTCTGAATATACTAAAAGCCATTGAATTGTACACTTTAAATGTGTCAGGTCTATGGTATGTGAATTAAATTTCAATAAAACTTTAAAAAAAGGAAGAACCTCTACTGCTGCTGCTGCCATCTTTCTAGAATGCTCTCTGTACCTTTGCTTTTCATGTTTTTATTTTGGACATTTTCAAATATGCAGCAAAACTGAAAGAATTTTACAGTGAACATCCTTATCCTGCCACTTAGGGTCTACTTGTTTTTTCCACATACGTATTGATCTCTTCATCTATCCATCCTTCTATCTACCCATAAATTTATTTATTTATTTAGACAAAGCTAAGAGTTTTAAAAAAATCATTCATTCATTCATTCATGCATTCTGCTCCAGGTCTTAGTTGCGGTATGTGGGATCTAGTTTCCCCACCAGGGATTGAACCCGGGCCCCGTGCATTGGGAGCATGGAGTCTTAAACACTGGACCACCAAACTGTCATTTTAAACTGTTTCAGTTGCTACACATCCTCACCAAATATTGGTATTAGTGATCTTGAATTTTTGCCATTCTGGTGGGTGCATTCTATACCTCCACTATTTTTCTTTCTTTTTTTTGAGATGTAATTCATAAGTCACGCATTTAAAGTATATAATTCACTGGGTTTTAATATATTCATGGAATTGTGCAGCCATTACCACAACCCAATTTAAGAATATTTTCATCACCTCATAAAGAAACTCTAAATGAGCTATCATTCTGTGAAGAGACATGGAGGAATCTTAAATGTATATTTCTAAGCAAAAGAAGTCAACCTGAAGAGGCTGTATGATTCCAACTATATGACATTCTAGAACTATGTGACATTCTATATGACAACTATATGACCTTCTAGAAAAGGCAAAACTATGGAGACAGTGAAAAGATCAGTGGTTAGCCAGGGTTCAGTGGAAGGGAGGGATGAATAGGTAGAGTACGGAGTATTTTTAGGGTAGTGAAACTATTCAGTATGATGCTGTAATGGTGAATACTTACACCATTTATTAAATCATGTAGAACCCTAATTTATACTATCATGTATCAATATTGGCTCATCAGTTGTTAGAAATGTATCTTACTAATGCAGGATGTTAACAGGGGAACTGGGTGTGGGGGTAAGAGGTGTATGGGAATTCTCTGTACATTTTGTTTATTTCTCTGTAAACCTAAAACCAGTCTTAAAAAATAAAATGTATTAATTAAAGAGAAAAAAATATCTGTACCCATTAGCTGTCTTTCCCCATCTGTTCTTCCTCCCCCAAGCCCTAGGCAGTGGTTAATCTACTTTTTGTCTCTTTGGAGTTGGCAGTTCTGAACATTGCATATAAATGGTGTCAGTCATATATAACGTGTTCTTTGTGATCGGCTTATTTCGCCTAGCATATTGTTTTCAAAGTTCATCCATGTTCCAGCATGTATCAGTCACTTTTATTGTTTTTGTTCTTTTTTGCTGAATACACTTGATGGATAATAGGGTTTTTCACACTATTTTGCCTGTGAATAATGCTGATGTGAACATTCATGTGCAAATTTTGTGTGGTCATGTGTTTTCAGTTGTCTTGGATAGATACCTAGAGTGGAATTGCTGGGTCATATGGGAGCACTATGTATAACATGCTGAGCAATTGCCAAACTCTTGCAAAGTGGCTACACCATTTTACATTCCCACCAGGAATGTATGTGAGATCCAGTTTCTCTCCATCCTTGCCAGTACTTGTTATCTGTCTTTTTGATTATAGAGATTTATTTTACATAAAGGTGGAATGTGATTTAACCTATTATTGTTCTTTTCCATAGAGGCAAATTTCTGGAGATGTGTGATGATCTCTTAGCTAGAGTGGAGCCACCACTCCGTAGTATTTTGGAACAGGCCAGTAAGTATTATCGTGACTGTTCATCTTGGGCTCTTTGGAAAATGTTAATTACTTTTTTTTTTTCCAGTTTTACAAATTTCATTGTATGAACTACTTCAGTGCAATATGAAACTTCTTTTTATCAATATCGTCCCCCTGGAGGACCTCCAATAGTGTCTAGGGAAATCTGATAGTTTTCCCAGGAAATGTAGTTCAGATTCAAATATGGATTTAAAGTCTTAGGTATTTCAGGTAAAAATTGTCTTTAGCAGTGTTGCTGTGGTAGTCTTGTAGGTTTTTTTTGTCAGTGAACCTTTTGTTGAAAAATAAGTAAAGGGAGGATATGATAATCACATATTTAACAGGATGCTTTAATTTTATCTTGGGCTAAAAGGTGGAAATTTGATTTAGGAATGCATTACTAATGTTCCACAAACCTTTGACAAACCTTTTCCTAGAGTCCACTCTTGTGTTGGTTGCTATTTCATGGTGTTGAGATGTACTCTAATCTTGACACAGGCTCAGCTCTTAAATCAGAATGATTATCACAGATGGGCATGTTCTTTCCATACTGGGTCAGCCCATCTCTTTAAATAGCCCTTCTCAACAAATTGTCAGTGTTTGTTGCACAAAATGTGACCAGGAAATCAGGTGGGTTTTGTTTTTTTTTTAATTTTTATTTTTGGCTGCATTGGGTCTTTGTTGCTGCACGTAGGCTTTCTCTAGTTGCGGCAAGTGGGGGCTACTCTTTAGTTGCAGTGAGTGGGCTTCTCATTGTGGTGGCTTCTCTTATTGCAGAGTACAGGCTCTAGGCTTGCAGGCTTTAGCAGTTGTGGTGCACGGGCTTAGTTGCGGCATGTGGGATCTTCCCGGACCAGGGATTGAACCCGTGTCCCCTGCATTGGCAGGCGGATTCTTAACCACTGTGCCACCAGGGAATTCCCAACCAGGTGGTATTAAGAGGTGTTTTATGAGTGACAGCAGAGCCTTGGTGTGTACCTTCTCTCCTTCTGATATGAGGAGATTGTACCTGTGTTATAATCTGGCCTATGCTTATACTCTGGCTGGAGTGCTGGAGTGGCTAGATGTGCATCTGCATACTTTTTTTTTTTTTCATGCCATGTCAGGGATAGTCCAGTATTTTGAGGCCCTTTTATTTTCCTTATGGCCAGCTTAATTATTGATGATTTAACATTTATTTGTGTGAGGCTGTTTCCAAGATTGTAGGACTTGTGCACTGTAGGACATTAGGTATTCCTGACTCTCACCTCTTGAGTCCCAATATTGTTGTGCCACTCTGCCCTCATTATTTTGAGCGCGCACCTGTGTGTGTGTGCGCACTCACGTGTTATTGTGGAGGGGATTAGGAGTGGTGGGGCTTTGTTATGCATTTGTGAATTATTTTGTTGTGATAAGATGTTATATTGCTCTTTTTATTTCACTGTAAAATACTAATTAAAAGATTCTTTTAATATAAATGTCTATTCTAATTGTTTTTAAATAGAGTTAAAGAAAGAAGATATTTATGCAGTGGAGATAGTTGGTGGTGCAACACGAATCCCTGCAGTGAAAGAGAAAATCAGCAAATTTTTTGGTAAAGAACTTAGTACAACACTAAATGCCGATGAAGCTGTTACTAGAGGCTGTGCATTGCAGGTGAGCTTGCTTTCTTTCACAGGTAGCCATTTATAGGTCATTGTAAATACAGCAGTGGTTTTATGTATCCAGCTAGTCTGAGATTAGCTCAGTGATCTTAAGGTCTAAGATTCTAAAACTTCTGTTTTAAAATTGGTATCAGAAGTCATGTTCATAAATGCAATTGTTTGTACTATATAACTTGTAATAAGATGAAATAAGTTACTAGAAACATACGTAAACCTGAAATACCACTAGAATTTGGCATATTTGTTGCATGAAGTAGTGTTATACATCAGTTAAATAAAGGTTGAGGTTAATGGAAAAGTAATGAGGAATAACTAGATTTCTATGGGTGGTTTGACGATAGATATTTATAAAACCACTTATTTAGGTACTATTAAGTTATTAATGTAAGTAGATGTCTTCTGAAGTCATTCTTTATAGGTATTGTAATAATTAGTTCGTATGTCTACTTGCCAAATGGAATTTTTAAAAATTATTATTCTAGTGTGCAATCTTATCACCTGCTTTCAAAGTCAGAGAATTTTCTATCACTGATGTAGTACCATATCCAGTATCTCTGAGATGGAATTCTCCAGCTGAAGAAGGGTCAAGGTAATAATGTTTTTTAATCATTTTTGTACTTAAGTGTTGTCTTAGAAAATACTCTCCATTTCAAGTTATACACATCTGTAATATTTTGCCGTAGTGCATGAAGCAAAGTGATTATTTAGTCATTCATCAGAATAAGTTTGTGTCCTTACTGGCTTCTTTTATTTGATCCTGCTGA